GCTGAGGGTGATTCTTGGGAAGCGGCCACTTACGTGGCCAGGCCTGGGCTGGATGGGAAGGCAGGTGGTGGCGGCCAAGGCAGCCACCTCAGGTCAGGCCTATTTATAACACGGGCTTTGCTCCTTGGTCATGGAGCCTGTGAATCACCAGGGGGCCTCACCAGTGTCTCCCAAGGGGTCAGGAGGGGAGGGCGTCTTTCCCTCCCTCCTTTCCCCGAGCCCCTCTCCCCTTTTGCCCAGACTCGGAGCTTCTGGTGCCTCTTGCTCCCTTTCTCATCATGTGATGCCAGCTTCCCTTCCCCTTCTGCTGTGATTGGAAGCTCCCTGAGGCCTCAGCACACGCAGGTCCTGGTGCATGTTTCTTGTACAGCCTGCAGCACTGTGAGACAATTAAACATTTTTCTTTATAATTTACCCAGCCTTAGATATTCCTTTATAGCAAGACAAGACAGACTAATACAAAGGCCCATCCTATGGAAAACTTTCTCTTTTTCTTTTTTTCTTTTTTCTTTTTTTTTTTGTTGTTGAGATGGAGTCTTGTTCTGTTGCCCAGGCTGGAGTGCAGTGGTGCGATCTCAGCTCACTGCAACCTCCACTTCTCGGGTTCAGGCAATTCTCCTGCCTTAGCCTCCCGAGTAGCTGGGACTACAGGCACCTGCCACCACACCTGCCTGATTTTGGTATTTTTTAGTAGAGGTAGGTTTTCACTGTGTTAGCTAGGATGGTCTCGATCTCCTGATCTCATGATCTGCCCACCTCGGCCTCCCAAAGTGCTGGGATTACAGGTGTGAGCCACCGCTCCTGGCCTGTGGGAGATTTTTTCTTAAGGTAAAGACTTGGCTGTTAGCACTTGGACATGTTTCTCTTCCTTCTTGGTTCTTCGTATACTGAAATTCCCTTCCTGCAGGGCTGCATAGGAATGCTGAGGTCTCAGCTAGTGACATGCTGAGAGGCGTGGAATGGCCAGCTCCCAGAATAAAAGCCCTGATTTGTGGCATTTGCCAGTTTGTGTGGTGTAAATGTTCCCATGGCTGCCGTCAAGCTGTGAATTGGGCTTTGCCGAGTGCAGAGTCGGAAAGAGGTGTTCACCGTGGACTCTCAGGGGATGACAAGTGGTGGCCTCAGCACAGCAGCGGGGCCCAGCCACGGCCCTTGGCCTCATCAGCTTCCAGGATGCGAAGCTGCCTAAGCAGCCTCCATTCCATCATCTCAAAAATGTACCAGTTTTCTGTATGGGGAGCGTTTCATATCCTCCTTCTAGCTATTTGAAACTATGTATTACTGTTGGCTGGGCACGGTGGCTCACGCCTGTAATCCCAGCACATTGGGAGGCTGAGGCAGGTGGATCACTTGAGGCCAGGAGTTTAAGCACAGCTTGGCCAACATGGCAAAACCCCATCTCTACTGAAAATACAAAAATTAGCTGAGCATGGTGGCATATGCCTTTGATCCCAGCTACTCAGAAGGCTGAGACAGGAGAATCACTTCAATCCAGCAGGCGGAGGTTGCAGTGAGCCGAGATCACGCCACTGCACTCCAGCCCAGGCAACAGAGCAAGACTCTGTCTCAAACACACACACACACACACACACACACACACACACACCTGTATAATATTATTTTTAACTATAGTCATACAGTGCTGTAGAACACTAGAAGTTACAAAAGCTTAGCATATACCTCTTATACGGCATACCGTTCTACTGTAGGTATTCAGTCAGGAGAATGAAAATGCATGTCCATTCAAGACCTTTGCAGAATAATTCATAGCGGTTTTCTTTATAACAACCACCTTCTTCTTATGAAGTCACTGAAGGCAGCTACTTCCAGGTTTATAGGGCCTTAAAGAACTCCTGGTCCGCAGCTGATCTGACAGCTGGGATGGGGGTGGGCATCTCTCAGGAGGGGTCAGTGAAGCCGGTTTCTCAGAGGGCCAGGCCAACCCAGAGCTAGGTGAGAAAAGCCAAAGGCGGAAGAGAGACATGTTCCTCCACTCAAGACCACTTCCAGGAAGACCTTGGTCTATTTCCTCCCACTCGATTTTCTACAGGAAGCCTTTTTGGCTGTCCATTTTGGACAGCTCTGTGTGTGCGGCGTTGTACCCAGTCTTCTTCACTTTGCTGGCTGAGACAAACAGCTTCCCGTGTTCCTGCACATGTTTCCCAACAACCCTTATACGCTGCAGGGCTGGGGATGTGGAAACAATGCAGCCACTTAGGAAAACAGCTGGAAAGTTTATTTATTTATTTATTTTGTTGCTTTTGTTTGTTTTTGAGGCTGAGTCTCACTCCATCACCCAGGCTGGAGTGCAGTGGTGCGATCTCAGCTCACTGCAGCCTCCACCTCCCACGTTCAAGCATTTCTTCCACCTCAGCCTCCTGAGTAGCTGGGACTAAAGGCGCCCACCATCATGCCCGGCTAATTTTTATATTTTTTAGTAGAGTTGAGGTTTCACCTTGTTGGCCAGGCTGGTCTCGAACTCCTGACCTCAGTGATCCACCCACCTCGGCATCCCAAAAGGTTGGGATTACAGGCGTGAGCCACCTCGCCTGGCCAGAAAGTTTCTTTCTTTCTTTTTTTTTTTTTTAAATTAGACCTAATATTATCATACTACCCGGCAATTTCACTCAGAGGAACCTACATGACTTTGTAGCAATATTATTTATAATGCCCCTAAAGTGGAAACAGTCTAACTGCTCATCACCTGTTGCATGGATTAAGAAAAATAAAAGCAAAAACCGGTCTATTCATGCAGTGGAATGCAATTGAGCAACAGAAAGTGATGAGGGACTGACACACACAGGAACGTGGATGAAAGTCAAAAACAGTGAAAAAAGTGAAAGGTGGCCGGGCGCGGTGGTTCAAGCCTGTAATCCCAGCACTTTGAGAGGCCGAGGCGGGTGGATCACGAGATCAAGAGATGGAGACCATCCTGGTCAACATGGTGAAACCCCGTCTCTACTAAAAATACAAAAAATTAGCTGGGCGTGGTGGTACGTGCCTGTAATCCCAGCTACTCAGGAGGCTGAGGCGGGAGAATTGCCTGAACCCAGGAGGCGGAGGTTGTGGTGAGCCGAGATCGCGCCATTGCACTCCAGCCTGGGTAACAAGAGCAAAACTCTGTCTCAAAAAAAAAAAAAAAAAGTGAAAGGCGTAAATGACTAAACACTGTGTGATGACACTATAGCGAATGCCCAAAAAAACGCAAATTTATAGAGGCAGAGAGTAGATTTGTGGTTGCCTGGGGTGGACGGAGAGAACAGCTAGTGACAGTAAATGGGCATGAAGATTTTTGGGATGATGAGAATGTTCTAAAGTTAGAATTGCACAACTCTGTAAATTTGTTAAAAATCATCAAATTGACACAAGGGTTGAATCTTATGGCATACAAATTGTAAATTATATATTTAAAAACAAATACCCAAAGGGTTATAAATCGTTCTACTCTAAAGACACATGCACATGTATGTTTACTCCGGCACTGTTCATAATAGCAAGAATTGGAACCCACCCAAATGCCCATCAATGATAGACTGGATAAAGAAAATATGGCACATACACACCATGGAATACTATGCAGCCAGAAAAAAGGATGAGTTCATGTCTTTTGCAGGGACATGGATGAAGCTGGAAACCATCATTCTCAGCAAACTAACACAAGAACAGAAAACCAAACATCGCATGTTCTCACTCATAGGTGGGAGTTGAGCATGAGAACACATGGATACAGGGTGGGGAACATCACACACTGGGGCCTGTTGTGGGGGGTGGGGGGCTAAGGGAGGGAGAGCATTAGGAGAAATACCTAATGTAGATGATGGGTTGACGGGTGCAGCAAGCCACCATAGCATGTGTATACCTGTGTAACAAACCTGCACGTTCTGCGCATATATCCCAGGACTTAAAGTATAATAATACTAAAGAAGTCATATTGGCTGGGAAGTAACCGGTGCAAGTAAACGAGGAAACATAATCATTATATGTCGATATAGCAAGTGAAAAATGCTTATTAAATACTCTTTTCGATGGGTTCGTACTGTCACTGCGAATTGGATGGACTCTAATTTATTTGACATTCTCCAGTTGTCAGACATCGTGTCTGCTCTTTCAGGAATGAAGCTAAATCAACATGGTGATAAAATTTTCTGGTTTCGGATTACTTCCTCAAACTTATTTCCCAGAAAAGGGCTTTCTAGGTCGAAAGTTATGAAAATTTGCTAAGGCTCTCAATGTGATGACAAATTAGGTCTCCAAGCATGGGACAGACTGAGAGCTATGGTTTCCTGCCTTCACCTCATCTTCCAACTGCGGAACCAAGTCCTCCCTCGACAAAGAAAACCCCATGATTCATGGTGTTAGACATTAGAACGGTGCTTTCCTTAAGGAAATAATGACCACAAGGGGGCATGAGAGAGTTCCAGGTCTCTGTCCATTTTGTGAGTTGAGATGGGATTTACATAGCAGTAAAATGTCCAATCTTAATTGTACAGCTGGGTAAAGTTTGGCATGTCATACGCTTGTGCAATCATCCCTCAGGTGAAGATACGACACATTTCCTGAGCCCCAGAGAGTTCCCTTGTGCCCCTTCCCAACCCAAAGCGAACCTCCATTACCGTAGATTAGTTTGCCTGTTCTCGAACTTCTTAGAAATAAAATTATAATGTTTGAATCTTGATCAGGTGCTAGGTTTATTGATGTGTTCTTTCTGGAAGAGCTACTCAGCTACACACTTTTGATCATGTATTTTTCTGATTGTATGTTATATCTCAGTAAAAGTTTGGGGCCAAGGGGAAGAATATTTCAGGGCACTGTTGACTCTGTGGCCTGCAGCATCCTGGCTGACCATCCTTGTGGCAGGGGTAGCGGACAGTGGCTGTACCTGGCTGTGCCCATTCCTCCATAGGGTCTTGGTTTGTGGTGTTGGCGGAGGTGGGGGCAGGGCCGTGCCCATGAGCTAACCTATCTCTCTCTTCTCTCCCCACTGTGTTCCTGTATGTCAGTCCTGTGTCCGTCCAGCTCATGTGCTGTGTGTGTCTGTAAAGCCTCATTCCGTGCCGTCTGGCAGGGAGCTCCATCTCATCTCATCATCTCACGGCCCTGGCACTGCCTCAGCATGGCCATCTCATCACGCCTCGCCCTTTGGGAGCAGAAGGAAAGTGAAACTCATGGCTGGAGCTGCAGCCCTCTGCAGGGACTGACTTGACCCTCGGGGAGACAAATCCAACCTTTCCCACCTTGAGCGGGGAGTCTGACATCAAGCCCATCTTGTAGCATGTGCAGTCCCACCTTCAGGCTTCTCCTAGCCAGCTCGGTTAGCCTAGCCTTGGCCTTTCCAATCCAGCTGGCCACTGCAGGCTACACCCTTGGCTCCCTCCAGGGCTGCCTGGTCATTTTATGTTCCAGGTGGTGGTGGGGAAATGAGGGTAGACCAGCTGTCCCAGCTCAATCCTCATGTCAGCTTTGATGAGCACTGGGGTTTGGATGGGAGGAGGGGCACATGGGGGGCAGAGGCAGAGCTGTTGGAGGCCAGGTTTATGCCACAGGGGTGCTTTTCTCTGGTCCCTGCCTTCAGGCACCAGAGAGAACTGGAAAGGGGCTCTCCTCCCCCAGATACTCCTTCTTCCCCTTCTGTGTTTTTCATGATTTGGTATGAAGGGCTGACTCTTTCCAAGATGGCTGTTACCTCCTGCACCCCCACCCCACCTTGTGCATGTGATTTGATGAGTTGGAGGTGGAAGGGTGGGAGGGCGAAAAGCTTCTTTCTGGCTGCCTCCTGGCTGCCCCTGCCCCTCCCAGCCTGGTCTGGGGATAGCAGCTAAAATGGCATTGGAAGCTGCAGAGTGTGCCTTGAGACTGTCTCTCACTTATGAAGTGGCTTTCAGTCCCACATCAGGAAGGAAAAAAGGGGAATGTGACGTTGACGTGGGCCCCGCAGCGCGTGCCCCTGCTTCTCTGTTGCTGGGCAGAGGTCTGCATCCACCAGCTTCATCCCAAGGCCTTGTCTCCCGGCCTTTCCTATCTCCTTTGAATTCCCCCCTTATCAGCTGGGCTGCAGACAGCATATCTTTCCCACATATGCACAGAGGACCTTGATAAGGAGGTTATTTTAAACCAGTGTGGAGCTCTTCCATATAAAGCGCTGATGACTGTTTTCTTCTCATGGGCTGTCAGTGACGCAGGCTAAAGACACGCTTCAGTCGGCCATAGCCAGTTCCGTGCCTCAGCCTCCAAGTCACTGTGGCCCACAGAGGGGTCTCAGCTGTACCATGAGTCCAGCCAGTGCTGGCCTCGGCCATATTTCTGGGGGTGAAATACCAGGGTCCAACCTGCCTGTTATGGGACCCAGTATTGGAGAACCCCTGGCTGCCCCGATCCTGGTTTAAGGACCATCAGGAAGCCACAGCACAGTGTCAGTTGAGTGGGCTGGAGCCACAAGGTCAGATCTGTATACAGATCATGGCTGTCAGCCCTCCCCTATCTCACCACACTCCTGGTGCACAGTAAGTGAGTAACTGATTCATCTATTATATTAACTATAAGCCAAGGGGGACCAGGAGAGGGTGGATGATGCCCTGTGATCCCTCCCTTTCTGGAAACTGGAAACACTCCTTTCAGAGCAGGTCCTCCCAGGAATGGGCATGTCCCATGGCAAGGAAGGGAACCAGCAGCCTTGACCATGCCAATGACCGTTCATATCACCATGCAGAAATCACACTGACCCACAGAATTCCTGGCTGCCCCATGTTCCATTTTCATGCGCTGTCACAGGAACCCCCCCCCTGAGCCCTGCTGGGCCTCACCTGCTTGGCTGTGGCTTCTCATACATGGGCTTGGTTATGTATGTCCTCCTCGGCCCCCTCCAGGCTCCATCACACAGTTTTTGAAGGACAGCTTGCTCCTGCTCTTGGACTCACTGGGTTCTCTCCTTCCTTGCTTCTGCAAAACAGATTCGGGAAGAGGACAAGAGCCCTCCGCCCTCCTCGCCCCCTCCCCTTTTCTCTGTCATCCCAGGGGGCTTCATCAAGCAACTGGTCCGGGAGACTGAAAAAGAGGCCAAGGAAGCGAGACAGAGGAAACGGTCAGCCCTCGCCTCTCCAGAACGAGAGGTAAGGGGTTCCCAAGAAGCGGGACCAGACGCCTTTCCATACCCATCATTCTGTCTTGTGAGCTTCCTCGGAGTCATTCATTCATCATCCTGCCTTTGCTCCTGCTATCCTGGCTTTGAGGCATGTCCTTTATTCAACCTGATCTACTGAGCTCTTATGCATCCTTCAAAACCCAGCTCAAATAGCGCATCTCTGGAAAGTTCTCCCATTGCCTTCCTTCCTCTGAATCCCACTGCACCTTCTATGCCTGTCTTAATTGTGGTTGGTTGGCATAGTACTTACTGGATTATATAAGTTATTTGACTAGGAATTCAGTCCCACATATGCCTGCACCTGTCCGATGAATGACTTTGATGCATTACAGGGGTCCTCGAGCAGCTGAACAGCAGCAGCTGCTGAAATACCCCTACCAAGTCTTTGTTGGGGAGGTCGATAGGGAGGACAGGCTCTGTTCCCACTCTTGCCTGACCTAAGGCATAAGTGGGGGCCAAAGTTGACCTCAGCAGGCTGTTGTTAGGTTATGATGAAATTCTACTGTGTGCTGTTTATCACCAGACAATGCTTACTTGCTGCTCATGGCTCATTTGATACCCTGTGCAGCAATGCAGGTGGGTGGGATTCTACCCATTTATTAGAGGTGGAGACTGAGGCCAAGAGAAGTCAAGTGATTTACCCAAGGTCATGAGACCAGGTAGAGGTAGAGCCAGGGGGAGATCCTGTGTGTTTTCCTTTCTCACAAGTGGCCAGGGTAGTGCCACAGAAACCTGGGGGGAAAGGGCTCCATGAGATTGTAAGCAGTCCTGGTGTCACTGTGAGCAAGTTAAGAGGCAGAGCTGAGCCATGGATGAGGACAAACTGTCACTGCTGGGCCTGGATGGAGACTCAGCCAAGATGCAGGATGGCTCTGAGCCTCAGCCCACAGCAGGTGGCTGGACCGTGGGCCAAGATATTCCTGGGACTGGAGCAAGGGAGCCTCAGGACATGTTCCCACAAGGCAGCAAGCTCTGCTTGGTTCCTGCCAATTTAATTTTCTTGTCCCAATCAATAAATAACTCAGTACACACTTGCCTTGTCCCAGCACAACTTCCATTTGATCCTCACCTAATACTTGCAAGAAGCCATTAGGATCCATCCCCTTTTGCAGGAATGGAAAACAAGTCTTGGGGAGGCAACCTGGTTCTCCTGAGGCTACCCAGCCAGTGAGGGACAGGGAGAGGCTGGAATAACACTGGACTGGAAAGTAACCCATATTGAATGTCAAGGAGATCTAGATTTCTAGCTCTGGCCCTGCCACTTCTTGTGGTCCTGGCTCACCCCCTTCCCCTTTCTTGGCCTCAGTTTACTCATCTGTAAAAATGTGCTATGGGTTTCTTTTTGGCCCCAGTGGTTCTAGAGGTGCTGTTTCCTCTATATGCTAAGAAGGGTGCAGAGCAGGGGGACTAAAGACGATCCAAAGGAAGAGAATTCATGGGCATATGGGGGTGGGTGGGAGGAGGCTGGCACTGGTTATCTCGTTTGGCCCACCCCATGTTACTGTCTCCTCTGTGGTGATTGGTTAAAAGTAAGGTACTGACTTACTTTTCAATGTGGTGTACACAGTGGTGAGATTTGCCAAGTGCAGTCAATCCCTTTCCAAGGCTATGCCCTGCCTTGCCCCAGAAGGTCAGGAGGAGCCACTCGGCCATGGGCTCCAGACCCATGATGCTGAGCTCCAGCTGCTCCTCATAATCACCCAGGGAGTCGCAACCCAGGCCAACTCAATCAGACTCTCTTGGAATAAGGCCAAGGCATTACAGTTTTTTTTCAGTGTCCCAGGAGATTCCAGAGAGCCCTAGAGAGAAAAGGAAGGTTTTCTAATATGCAGCAGTTGAGGGCACTGGTTTAAGAGTCAGAGAGAACTGGCTTTACATTTCACCTTTGTAGCTGGGTCACTTTACATCTCTGCATCTGCTTCTTTGCTTGTAGGGTGGGGAGAAGTTCAGAATCTGCCCCAGTTGTTCCTTAGGAAGATTAAGTAGGAGATTGCATGATGCTGATATAGGGCTTATTGCAAGGAAGGTATAAATGATAGGTCTCATTATTACAAAGATGAAGATAGAGACTTGCTGTGACACTGTCCACCTAAAACAGGAGAGAGACACAAATAAAATCCAGAATAAAATGCAGAAGGTGGCCATGCTGTGACTGGTGTACTAGCATAGTGCTCTGGGACTTTGTGCAAGCTTGGAACAATTTGAAGTCTTCAGGCAAAGATGTATAGAGGGGAGATGGAGATATTTGAGCTGGGTATAGAAGTGGACAAGTGAGGAGGGGAAAGGGCGCTCCAGGCAGTAAGCTCAGCATAGGCAACCGCCTGGAAGCAGGGAAGGGTCAGGTAGGAGAAGAGGCTTGTACAGTTCATACACAGGAACAGGTAGCGACAATAAGATCAGATTGGAGGCTGGGTTTTCTTGCTGAGGAGTTTGAACATCCAATGGTGGTGCCAAATGATTTTCCCGTAAGTTGTAGGCAATTACCTGAATCTTTGATCAGTTTTAAAATGGCTGGCAGCAAATTGAAGGGACAGCAGTTCACAGGCTGTGACAATGGCCCAGGTGAGGGATGGCAGACATGGATTTGGAAAAAGAGACACAGATGTGAAGCTTTGCAGGGTGGAATCAAGATGCTCCTGGGACTGGAATGAATGTAAGAGGAGGGCGAGAGTCCCAGATTCCCGGGCTTGGGTGTCTGTGAGGCTGTGCTAGCATTGTCCAAGATGGAAGAACCCAGGCTGGGGATGGTGCTGAAGCAAGACGTCAAAGTGGAACTTGCTTTTGAGGTTGAGGTCTTTTTCTGCAGAGAGGGAGGTACAGCTGGACCTGTGAGCTCTTCAGGCCACAGCCAGGCTGCTTTGAGGGCGAAGTTCTGAGCAAGGCTAAAATCACAAGGCAGTGAAAAGGCCTGGAAAGGGAGCAGGCAGTGAAAACCCCTTGGGTGTTATGCAGCCACGAATGTCTATGTCAGGCAAGAGCGGAGGACCCCAGGGGCAGAAACCAGGGCCCTCAGCTGCTATGGGGTGTGTGACATGGGGACCAGGGCAGTGGAAGTAGCAGCATCTCAGTGTGTTCCTCTCTCTATGATCTCCAAAGAGCATTTCCTTTTTTTTTTCTTTTTTTTTAAAGAAAGAGAGAAAGAAAGAAAGAAAGAAAAAGGAATGAAGGAGAGGAAAAAAGAGGAAGAGAGAACAGGAGTGTTGCTTAATTGCCCAGGCTAGAATGCAGTCTAAAAATGGGTATTGAAAACCTCCCTTATACCATCAATTGTGCTTAATCATGGCCAACCAATATTTCATTTAAACCTGTGAGTAGGTGTGATGTGGTACTGATAAGAGTGCCTGTCTTGTGTGTTTAAAGTGGAGAGTTCTATAAATGTTTATTAAGTTTACTTGTTCCGGATCTGAGTTCAAGTCCCGGATATCCTTGTTAATTTTCTGTCTCATTGATCTATCTAATATTGATGTTGAAATCTCCCACTACTACTGTGTGGGAGTACAAGTCTCTTTACAAGTCTTACGTATCTTGTATTGGGTGCGTACACATCCAGGATCATCAGCTCTTCTTGTTGCGTTGATCCTTTTATCATTATGTCCTCTTTTGATCTTCGTTGCTTTAAAATCCATTCCATCAGAGGCGAGAATTGCAACCTCTGCTTTTTATTTATTTATGTATTTTTGCTCTCCATTTGGTTGACAAATCTTTCTCCATCCCTTCGTTTTGACTGTTTATGTATCCTTGCATGTAGGATGGGTCTGGATGCAGCATACCGATGGGTTTTGGCTGTATCTTTTGATTGGGGGATTTAGTCAATTTAAATTTAAGATTATTGCCATTTGATGTTAGCTGGCTATTTTGCTCATTAGTTGACATAAATTCTTCATTATGTTGATACTCTTTACTTTTTGGTATGTTTTTAGAAAGGCTAACACTGGTTGTTCCTTTCTGTGTGTAATGCTTCTTTCAGAAGCCCTTGTAAAGCAGGCCTGGTGGTAATGAAATCTCTGAGTACTTGCTTATTCACAAAGGATTTTATTTTTTCTTCGACTGTAAAGCTTAGTTTGGCTGGATGTGAAATTCTTGGTTGAAAGTTCTTTTCTTTAAGGATGTTAAATATTGGCCCCCACTCTCTTCTGGCTTGTAGGGTTTCTGCTGAGAGATCTGCGGTGAGTCTGATAGGTGGGTAACCTGGCCTTTCTCTCTGGCTGCCCTTAGTATTTTCTCCTTCATTTCAACCCTGGTGAATCTAACAATTATGTGCCTTGGGGTTGCTCTTCTTGAGGAATATCTTTGTGGTGTTCTCTGTATTACCTGGAGTTGAGTATTGTCCTGCCTTGATAGGTTGGGAAATTTTCCTGGATAATATCCTGAAGGGTATTTTCCATCTTGGATTTATTCTCTCTGGCGCATTCAGGTACACCTATCAAAGGTAGATTAGGTCTTTTCACATAGTCCCACATTTCTTGGAGACTTTGCTCATTTCTTTTTATCCTTTTTACTCTATTCTTGTCTTCTCGTTTTATTTCATTAAGTTGGTCTTCAACCTCCGATATCCTTCCTTCTGCTTGATCAATTCGGCTGTTAAAACTTGTGCATACTTCGCAAAGTTCCCGGTTGTGTTTTTCAACTCTGTTAATTCACTTATGTTCCTCTCTATATTATCTATTCTTGTTAGCATTTCATCAAACCTTTTTTCTGAAAGAGCATTTCCACATCTCATCCTATAAAAGAGCTGGATGGTCAGAGGGTATCTACCTGCACAGGGGAAAACCGAAGCCCAGAGAGAAGAGATGGTAGCCCAGATAGAGACAGAGAGAGGAAGTCTAGCTGGAGAGTGTTGGAGCCAAGATGAGAGCAGGTCCTTCTAGTGACAGGCTCTGGGTCCTTTCCCAGATCCCCTACCGGCCCAGGAAGAATCCGGGCAGAAATAATAACAGTAGTAGCCGCAGTCCAGTCACCGCGGACACACTATGTGCTGGGCTTAGCTTCTATATCTTGTCACAAATTCTCACACCCACCCTGCAAGGTAGGCTTTTATCATCCTCATTTTATTGATCAAAAAACGCTCAGAGAGCAGAATTCATTTAAGTAAGGTCACACAGCTACGGAGTGTCAGAGCCAGGAGTTGAACTTGGTTCTGCTGGGCTCCAAAGTCCACTCTCCTTCCATTCCATCACTTACCTTTGAGGGGCTGGGCCAAGGTCTAGGGTGTTGGGCGTGGCCATGCCTGTTGGATTTGGAGGAAGGATGAATGGAGATGTGAACAATTGAATGAATGAATGAATGAACGCGTGAGTGAACAACAAAGCTGTCGGGTCAGCAAGCAGCTATGCAGGCGTGGTTGTGGTTTCTCCCCTAGACCCCAGAAATTCCCGTCAGCCAACCCAGCAGCAAGTCCAGCGGTGGCAGCAGACCTGGAAGCCAGCAGATCTCTCAGGAAAACCAGTCAAGCTCTCCTGGGAGCTCGGACATTCTGGGCAAGGCGAGCGAGGGGGCCGGCAGCCCCGACCCTGAGCGGATGACCAGCATCAATGGTGAGAAGGCCCAGGAGCTGGGCTCCAGTGCGACACCAGCCAAAAAGACCCTCCCCTTCAAGAGGGGCGTGAGGAGGGGTGATGTATTGTTGATGGTGGCCAAGCTGGACCCGGACTCAGCCAAGCCAGAGAGGACTCATTCCCATGACACCCCCTCTTGCAAAACCCCATCCCCAGCTGCAGACCCTGGAAAGGAAAAGAAAGGGGAGACCTCTAGGACTCCTTGTGGCCCCCAGGCCAGCACCGAGATCTTGGCCCCAAAAGCTGAGAAGACCAGGACTGGGGGTCTTGGTGACCCAGGCCAAGGAACAGTGGCACTGAAAAAAGGGGAAAAGGGTCAAAGCATAGTGGGGAAGGCGGGTGGGGTCCCCAAGACCAAAGAGCTGAAAGAGGGTGAGCCCCAGGACAAAGACAGCCAGGGGACCAGGCCCCCAGCCCAAGGGCCCAGCGAGGGGGTGCAGGTGGGGACAGCGGAGAAGGAGGGAGGGGAGCCCACAAACATGGTGGAGAAGGGGGATGTCTCCAAGGAGGCAGGGAGTGAAGGGAAGCATGTTGGGCCCCAAATTCCAGGCAGAAAGTGGGGAGGTTTCCTGGGAAGAAGGAGTAAGTGGGACGGTCCCCAGAATAAGAAGGACAAAGAAGTGCTCTTAAGTAAGGGAAGGAAGACAGGTGAGCCTCAGACCCAGATGGAGAAGACAAGCCAAGTACAGGGCAAGCCGGGGGATGATCTGAGAGTGGGAGAGAAAGCAGGTGAGCTTCAGAGCTCAACTGGGAGGGCAGGTGAGTCCTGGGATAAGAAGGAAAAGATGGGGCAACCCCAGGGTAAGTCTGGGAAGGCAGGTGAAGTTCGGAGTCAGATTAAGAAGGGCTGTGAAGCCCCAAACGAGGTGGGTACAATGGTGGAGCCGCCAGCAGCTGCGGGGAAGGGAGGCTGGCCAGGAAGCCGTGGGCAGGAAGTAGAGGAGCCCTGCTCAAGAGCAGATGACAGGGCTGGTGCCCTGGAGACAGAGCTGGAAGGACTCAGCCAGCCTCCTCTGGAGAAGGATGCAGAAAGGCCTCGGATACCAAAGGATAACCAAGATGGGCTGGCCCCACAGGAGGCAGGCAGAGGAGGCCACAGCAGAGACGCAGACCAGGTGAGGGGCTGCGGCCCTGGGAGCGGGGAGGGGCAGATGGGCCTGTTCAGAGACAGAGGGATGGGAAAGATCTGCCCCCAGAGATGGACAAAGGGTGGAAGTGGGGTAGGCAGGGAACTGGAGAGGGGTGGCTGGAACGGGGAGGCGCCTAGAGGAGATGATGGGCACTTCCTTAGTGAGCAGAGGTCTTGAGGTTTCTGTTATACCTGCCCTGGGGTGGAATTCCCCACAGAGTGAGGGAAGGTCTCCAAAATGTGAGGTGTCTCCTCACGGCTGACATGGTGGAGCTTGCTTACAATGCCACACGACAGCTCTCAAACTTGGGATGGCACAAAGAGCAGATTGTTAAAAATGCGGATTCCTGTGGCCAGCCATGGAGAAAGGCCAGGAATCTGCATTTAAATAAGCACCCTCCCTCTCTCGTTCTCCCCCAGGAGATTCTGATTTAGATGGCTGCAGACCACACTGTGAGAAACCCCATGTAAGGTGGAAGGTGGGAAGTGGTGTCATTTGCTGGTTTAATTTATGTCATCTTTGTCCTCAGGCTCCTGAGGACAGATGGTATGAGGCACAGAAAGTCTGGCTGGCTCAGAAGGATGGATTTATCCTTGGTAAGTAGGGGTGTTAGTACCTTTGGAGGGTCCCCCTACTGCTGCCAATCATATGTTCCAGGTCCTGATCACACTTCGGGGGTAAGGAGGGGAGAGGAGCAGTGGAGACCACCTTTCAAAGGCATTGTGTCTTGATAATGTGTTATTTACCTGTAACTCATTATTTACTGTAACTCATTTGTGCACCAAGCATGCTTGCCTCCTATGGTGTCCTTTGAGGAACCCAGAGTCTGGTACAAGTGGGCCAATAGATTTGATCTCGTGAGTCTACTTTCGTCGATTGGTTGTGGCTGATCACTGCACTCTACTGAGAAGTGATTCTGAGTCCCAGTCCAAACACAGCTGGGAAGAGGATTGATTAGTGATGTCTGCCATGGGTGCGGGATAGGGAGATGGCAGCTTGTATGCCATCATCTGCCATTCCAGGTCTGTGCATGAGACAGGTCAGTGTACCCAACTATCTGGGTGCCTACTCTGTGCCTGGCACTGTGCCCACTGGTAAAAGCCTAAGGTGAGTCAGACTTAGCCTGGATTTGGGGTCACAACTTAGAAAGCGTCATGCAAACAGACCCCAAATGTAAAAGATGTAGCCTCTTTCTGACCTGTCCTAAGCCTCCTCCCAAGCTTGCTGGCCCCACTTAGAGCCTCTTTCCCCTCTTCCCCTCCCACTCCCTCTTCCCTACCCACCCCCTCCCCTTCCACCTTCTCTCTCTGGGATGTAGCTACGATGCTAAAGCCAGATGAGGGAACAGCAGACCTGCCAGCAGGAAGGGTGAGACTTTGCATCAATGCTGACCAAACCATCACTGAGGTAGATGAGGAGCATGTCCATAGGGTAAGTCCCCTGTCCTCCTGCCCCCCAGTTCCATACCCTCCTTCCCCACCCCTGCAAGAGGTTTCCTTGTACCTGACTACAAATACCTTTTTGGCTTGATGCCCTGGGGGGAGTTATAGTGAAGAACCCCACTGAACTCAGTGCTCTACTGGAGGGATACTGTTAGGGGGTCATTCACTCTCTACTGTGATTTCCCTTAATGAGGACACATCAAGGGACATGTTTGTCAGTTCTTGGTACTTGGAGTTCTTCTGATAGACCCAGGAATATGACAGCTTTTTATTTTATAAATATTGGAAATCATACTACAGAGCATGTTTCTGTTTTCACTCTGGCTGCCAGGGAACTCAGAGCCAAATTTGCTGCTTGCCATTAAGCATAGCCTAGATTCTAATGGCCTATATTTTGCCATCAAACTTTCTTTCAGCTTTGCTCTTCAAATTGCTTTGAATACCTTTTTGCTGTGCACCATAAATCCTTCTCAGGACAAGTCACAGTGTAACGATAGAAAAAAAAGGTTCTGTCATGCCCTTTCCACCTGGCACAGCCTGCCAACGTAGAAGGAGTTCATCTCCTTGTTCATCTGCATTCCTTTCTGCTCCTCCTCTGCCCACCTCAGGCTTCCTCTCCTGTGCTGGGAATTTACAGAGGCTCAGTGGCCTTGCAAGAAATGCCGATCCATGAGAGGGCTCAGGCTTGGCCCAACCACCAAGTACTAGGTTCAGAAAAGCCCCTGAAGCTGGAGAGAATGATAGGATGCCTCTTAGAATAGATGTCTCAAGACGCAGCTTCACACACCCCTCGCTTCTAAGGGTTTGGGTGGTCTCCTGGGAATCCATGCATGATGAGCTCCGAGACCAACGAGGTGCTCTGGTCACTGGCCTCCACTCCTGGGTATCACGGAGCGCACCGAGAGCTTCCCCATGAGACCCGGAAGAGGAGGGAAAGAAGAGGAGAGCGACTCTGGCAGTGCTTTGAACTTTGTGAAGTCTGTCTCGGGAGCATCTCCCCTCCTGGTGCACTGTGGGCTGGACCTCAGCGAAGAGGGGGTGCCTCGTAGGCTGCACAGAGGGCAAGGAGAAGGGGTGGCCCTATTTTATTCACAGCACTTTGTCGCTTCCCGTCCAGAGTCCCTGTGCTCTGTTCTGGTCTCTGGCACATGGCTCTCAAGAGAAGGGCTCAGTGTGTGTGTGTCAGAGTGTGTATGTGTGTGTGTCAGTGTGTATGTGTGTGTATATGTGTCAGTGTGTACGTGTATGTATGTCTATGGGTGTGTGTGTGTATGCGTGTGTGTCTGTGTGTATGTGTATCCGTATGGTGTATCAGTGTGTATGCGAGTGTGTGTGGGTGTATGTGTGGATATGTCTGAATGTGTGCATGTGTGTGTGAGTGTATGTGTGTGTATATGTGTGGTGTGTGCATGTGTGTATGTGTGAATGTGTGTGTATGTATGTGTGTATGTGTGTGAATGTGTGTGTATATGTATGTGTGGTGTATGTGTGAGTATATGTGTGTGTATGTATGTGTGTGAATGTGTGTATATGTATGTGTGGTGTGTGTGTGAGTATATGTGTGTGTCTGAGTATGTGTAAGTGTGCATGTGTGTGTGAATGTGAGTATGAATGTGTATGTGTGAATGTATGTGTGAGTGTGAATGCGTGAGTGTATGTGTGTGTGAATGTGTGTGTATGAATGTGTGCTTGTGTGTGTGTTAGGGGCCAGGAGGCCAGAGGAGACACTATGTGATGATTTCACAGGCCAACCCCCCTGAGCTGGACCAGGCCGAGGACCTGGCCTCTCTCATCAGTGTCAACGAGTCCAGTGTCCTGAACACGCTTCTGCAGCGCCACAGGGCTCAGCTGCCGCACACGTGCACAGGGCCTGATCTGATCGTCCTCCAGCCCCGGGGGCCTTCGATGCCCTCTGCAGGGAAGGTGAGGCGGGACCATGGGCGGCAGGGTTGGGGAGTTGAGGGCAGGAGGGGCTGGGGATCCCTTGCATCTGAGGTGGCAGCAGAACAAGCAGAGCCCCCAGTCTACCTCTCTGCAAGCAGCATCCTTCTCGCGGCACTGTGGATGTCTTGCGGTGTGGACCGGGACATTCCCCCATTCCCTAGGGGGGAAAGATCAGTCGCCATTAGGACAGAAACAGCAGCATTAAATATCACAAGAATAACGAAAGAAAATACGGAATTGAGTATTAACTCCACCAGACACTGCTTCATGCACCTTCATGCATTAACTCAGCTCATTCTCACAGATCCAGCTGAAAACACAGGTACTGTTCCTGGCCCATTTTACAGATGGGAAGAGCCGGCCGGGCCAGGCACAGGCTAAACTCTCAGGACCGGCGAGCAGGGGAGCCGGGAGAATACCCAGGACCCCGCGCTCCCGCGTGCTCTTCATCCCATGCTGGACTCTCGGGAGTCCCGAGCACCCACATCAACGGGGAAACAGAAGCTTCAGTTGTGCTTTAGTTTTTTTTCCTAGGAAGGGTAGAAAAGGTCCGTTTGTGTCGCGATGGACAAGAGCAAAGGAAATCTTTAAGCGCCACCTTGTGGACGCACGAGGCACCTCAGCAGAGTCATTGAAGCGCAGCCCCTTCATTCATTCAATCCATAGCGATTGAGCTATTGATAGAGGGTCTCCTACAGAGCCCAGCCAAGACAACAGGGAAGATGCCAGGCGAGCAAGCCTGCCCTCTTGGAGCTGCTGTTCTGGGAAGAAAAGATAGGCCATCAACAATGAGGTGGGAGAGGTTGGAAGAAGCCTGAACAGAGCTCTGTGGCTTCTCAGGATGATGAGTCTGGCTTTTTCTCTGAAAGGGATGGCGGCTACTGGGCATTTTTATTTATTTCTTATGAACTGGGCAGCCTCCTGAGGCAGAGTAGGCTTAGAGATAGTCCCTACTGGGGTTTTTAACAGAGCAGTGATGTGTGTGTCTTAGGCTGTGAAAGGATGCCTTTGGCTGCTGGGTGGAGGACAGATGGGAAGAGGCTAAGTGGAGGCAGGGAGGCCTGCCAGAGGTGAGACATCTTACCTGTGCGCTCTTCTGGGGACTCATTGGGAAGTCACAAGCCCCTAGGACACCTGGCATCTAGGAAAATAATGCTACCTCTTCTGGTTTCCATGTTCTCCTCTGCCAATTGGGGATGAAAAGCCACTCTTGCCCTCTGAAGCCCCATGGGATGAACCCATCCCTAATCCCTGAACAATGCTAAATCCATTAAAGGGGATATAGTGGTCCTGTTCCCCTCTCTCCAAGATTGTTCTCATCCAAAGTGCCCCACACCACCCCTTAACTCACTCCCCAGGCCTCTTCCACACAGCTGTCCATGGTCAAGGGCCTGGGAGGACCTCAGAAGCTCTGGGTGGGCCAGAGGTTGGCACGTGCCCTCTCCCCTCCTTGTGGTGAGTGCCTAGGCTTGTGTTACTGTAGCCCAAGGCCTCTGAGCTGTCCAAATGGCCTAGTGACTCCTCTGGCTCCCTGGAAATCGCTGGAAGGGACGTTTTTATAGGCCCTGATAGCAAGCAGCCCATCACTCACCATCCTGGACTGAGGCATCAGACCTTAGGCAAAAGTGCTAAAAGGTGCAGGCATTGCTACACACCCTGAAGGTATATTCCCCCTACCTGTCTTTCTCGCCCTGGGATGGGGGTCCAGCACTGGTCCCCACCCTTCCCTCAAGCCTTCCAGCCTCCCACACTCAAACCCACAACCACCTCCTGTCCTTAGGCTGGATCAACCTCTGATTCCCCATGTGGCCACCAGGTGGCAGCACAGGTCTGCGGTGAGGCCAAGACCACCTAGAGGATGGGCTGGTGGGGTCTGGGTGGCACTGGGGGCCTCTCTCACTGCGGGGCTAGCCCCCACCAGGCGGCTGGGGTCTGGGTGTGTGCCTGGCAGCGTGCAGGTCTCAGTGAATAAGAGCGTGAGTTTGAGCATGGGTGTGTCCGGGTGGATAGAACTGGGCACCATCTCTGCGTACAGAGCCCTCAGCAATTGTTGTGTGCATGTGTCTTCAAGCATACTTGTGTGCATGCATGCAAGGGCACATGTACACAGATGCAAAGGCATGTGTGCACGCACGCACAAATGAGTGCCTTCAGGAACCTGGACGTGTAGAATTCTTCCTTCTCCCTCCAGACAGTGGGCCTGAGTGGGCTGATGGACGGGACTGCCTGTCCCTTGAACTTGAGTTTTTTTTTTTTGAGACAGAGTTTCGCTCTTGCTACCCAGGCAGGAGTGCAACGGCGCGATCTCGGCTCACCGCAATCTCCGCCTCCTGGGTTCCGGCAATTCTCCTGCCTCAGCCTCCTGAGTAGCTGGGATTACAGGCATGAGCCACCATGCCCAGCTAATTTTTTGTATTTTTAGTAGAGACGGGGTTTCACCATGTTGACCAGGATGATCTCGATCTGTTGACCTCGTGATCCACCCGCCTCGGCCTCCCAAAGTGCTGGGATTACAGGCTTGAGCCACCGCGCCCGGCTGAACTTGAGTTTTTCCAGACTGGGGGATGGCTCTAGGGCTCAGACCCCAGGACTCTCTGCCTGCCTTAAGCCCTAAGGCTGTGTCCAGGCAGTGTCTGGGCATGTCCCCCCTTTGCCTGCATTAGGGTCCTGCCAAGCCCTACATCTGCCATCAGGATAGGGACTCATGACTGTTCCTCAGGGGCTTGGAGCAGGAAAGGCCAACAGTGGACTGGGAACACCCCCAGCCCCAAGCTGGACATCCAGACTGAAGGGAGGGCCATCACACAGGGTTTGTGCCCCTAGCTTGGCCAAGGGTCTACGCTAGGGAGCGCAGATGGAGCCTTGCTGAACCCAATGGGGACCCTCAGCATCCTGGGTTTTGGATATCCTCCTGCAGCACGGCCAGTCCCTCTGTTCCTTTTGGTGCCCTCCCACTGACCTCACAGTAACCTCCTGCCCTCTTCCCTTGCTGCCAAGTCCAATGTCAAGTGTCTGGTCTCCTCTTATTGAACTCATGAACTCAGCAGCATTTCTCCTCCTCTTCCTGGAAACACACCCTTCTTCTGCTCCAGGACTCTGCCTTCCTGGTTTTGCTTCTGGCCCACTAGCCTCCCGGTCAGTCTTCCTGTGGTCTCCCTGCCTCCCCCTGTCAGAGTTCCCCCTCCCCACACTCTTCCTGGGTGATCTAATTCAGGCGTGTGACTTTCAAATGCTTCCCATTCACTACAATGAAATTCTTTCTTTCGTTGATCATCTCTCTCTCCCCAGAAGAAGGCAAGTTCCACCAAGCAGGGACTTAAGAAAAAAATCAGGCTTATCGAGGTGTAAGTTACATTACAGTTCAAATCACCTTTTAAATGTACAGTTCTGTGTGTTTTGGACAAAGCTGTGTAGTTGCAAAACTGCTTCCACAATCAATTACAAGACAGTTCCCATCACCCCCAAAAGTTCCCTGGGCCCCTCTGTGGTCAGCTCAGCCCCAAGCTCCACCCCTGGTAGCCAGTGACCTGCTTTTATTTGTCCCTATAGTTTTACCTTTTCAAAAAAAAAATCATATAAATGACATCGTACGGTATGTAACCTTTCAAACTGGCTTCTTCCAGGCAGTGCAATGCGTTGGAGATTCATCCATGAGGTTTCATTTATCCACATTAGTTCCTTTATTTTATTTCGTGAGGCACTAGCATGCATATTTGTTCATAGGATGACCAGTTGTCCTGGTTTTCCTGGGACTAAAACATTTTCTGGGACATGAGACTTTCGTCGCTAAAACCAGAATGAGTGATTCTCCTAGTTCACTAGCTCGGCCATGTTTGCATTGTTCTAGGGTTTGGTGATTTTGAATATATAGTCGCTAGAACCAATGACATGGAGGGAATTTGTATGAACATATGCTTTGATTTCTTTTAAGTCCATATGTGGAGAGGGGTTGTGGGTTTATGTGATATGTGCGTATCTCACTGTAGAAGAAATTGCCAGGCTGTTTTCCATAGTGACTGTATCATCAGCATTCCCATCGGCATTGTATAAGAATTCCAGTAGCTCCTCATCTTCACCAAAACTTGGTAGTGACTGGTAAGTGCTTTTTTCAGCTATTGTCACAGGCATATAACAGTGTCTGCTTGTGATTGGCTGGAATTTCCTTTATCTGTTTTGTGTCATGCTGTGCCCAAGTGCCTGCTACATATAGACGCTCAATGGATTATTTGACTGAAGTATGAATGAATGGATGAAGCGGATGGGGTTTCAGGTATCACCTAAATCTCTCATGGCAAATATGTAGCACACACACCACTAACCCCTCCACGTGCCGTTCCCTGTGTCCGTGGCAGACATCACTAATCACAATGGCTAATTATGCCATTTATCCAGCTGCCTCGTTTCAGGCAGATACTATTCGACGCTTTGAGTAACCATTGAGATAGATAATCCCATGGGGAATGCAGCTGACATTCAAGCCTCTGACTAACTAAAGAGGTGACCTAGGCTCAGAAAACAGGCATGGGCGGTCCAAGGACGCACAGTGAGCCGGGGCGGGACTAGACACACAGGTTGCGCTCTTCCCACAGAGTACGAAGGGAGGCAGGGACACAGTTCTGGATCTTAAACCTGGGGTGGGGCACTGGCTTAGAATGCTCCCTAGGCACTGGCTGGGTGCGAAGGCTGATGATGCCCGTGGTCTTCCTACAGGTGCCCAGGAGTCGCCGGGATGGCCTGCCCGCCCACGTTGGCTCCATGGCCCAGCGGGCATACTGGGCACTGCTGAACCATTGGAGAGACCAGAGCATTGTGGCACTGGGCCGGAGTGGCGCTGGGAAGACCTCCTGCTGTGAGCAGGTCCTGGAGCACCTGGTGGGGATGGCAGGCAGTCTGGATGGCAGGGTCTCAGGTACGGTGGCCTCTAGGTGACATGTAGAGTTGGGTCCAGGACAGGGAGAGTTGGAAGGGGATGCTGAGCTGCTCTTTCTTATATTCATTCAGCTAGCTTTCACTGAGCACCAGATATGTGCACACCCCCTGCTTGCTGCTGAGCAGGGCTATCCCTGGGTCACTGAGATGCATTTGTTGAAATTAGAATAAGGCACTCCTCCCTCAAGACATTGCTGGCCATTTGCAGAACAATCGTTATACACTGATGTTACTAGAAGCAGATACTTGACTGCCATCTGCAGAGAAACCATCCTAAAGTAGTACACAAGTCTAGGATAGTGGGATATGAATGACGTGCCCCTGGGATGTGGTGTTTTGGGGCAGTGCACAACCTGCTCAACTGAACAGATGACTTGACCAGTGAAGACAGAAGGGCAGAGTCTACACTCATGAGAAACTAATAGCCAGAGAGGAAACTGAAGTGTACATACGTTCAAAACTTGAATGTTCTACAAAAAGTGCTGGCAGAGCAGGCTAGGGAAGAAGCCCAGGGAGTGTAGAGGAGGGCAGATCACCTGCGGCTGGCAGTTCGAGACCAGCCTGACCAACATGGAGAAATCTCGTCTCTACTAAAAATACAAAATTTGCTGGTGTGGTGGCACATGCCTGTAATCCCCATTACTTGGGAGGCAGAGGCAGGAGAATTGCTTGATCCTGGGAGGCAGAGGTTGTGGTGAGCCGAGATCGCGCCACTGCACTCCAGCCTGGGCAACACGAGAGAAGCTCCATCTCAAAAAACAACAACAAAAAACTTTTGGTCCTCATGACAGCCACATGAGGACTAAATTTAATTAATTAATTAATTAGTTAATTCACTAGTTAATTAATTTGCCCCAAACCAGGTAACCAGCAAAGGGCAGACCTCAATCTCTTTTAATCGCTGGGCCACACTGCTTCTCCACCAGGATTATTGCAATGCTTTGCTGAACACCTACTCTATATCTGGCTCATGCTAGAAGCTGGGGAAGAGGCACAGTCTCTCCGAATGTAGTTGCACTGTGAATTGTATGTGTCTGAGGGTGGAAGTCAGGTCAGGCTGTATCCAGGTGCTCAGCACAGTGCTTGTTGCATTGTAGGTATGCAATGAATAGTAGTGGGGAGATTAGAGGGCTTTGCAAGCCTACTTCTAAGCTGTGGGGCAGGCCCCAGAATGTTATCATCCTCACCACTTTCTAGGTTCTATTAGGTCTGGGAAGCCCTAGGGCAGCCTCTGTTACCCAGATTGTACCTAACCCTGGCCTTTCTAGATTGAATCTTGTCTCCCCTATGCCAGGGCCGGTAGTACAGGACCAGCCCAGCAGGCGGCGCTCAGTGAAATGTATGTGGTTTAGAGTTGGGTTGGGCAGGGAGGGGATGGCAGGAAGCTCACAGGAAGGCCACAGGGTGCTGAGGCAGGCGCCGTGGAAAAGGTGGGCCTGTGCAAGGTGGGAGTGGCAGCACCTGGACCATCAGTGATGCTTGGCCCCATGCCCCCACCAGTGGAGAAGATCCGAGCCACCTTCACCATCCTTCGGGCCTTCGGCTCGGTGTCCGTGGCCCACAGCTGCAGTGCCACCCGGTTCGCCATGGTGATGTCACTGGACTTCAACGCCACAGGCCGCATCACGGCTGCTCAGCTCCAGGTGAGGCCTCTGGGTGGACGTGCAAGGGGGCCCTTGGGCCGCTGTGCCTCTAGCCCCACACGGCAGAGCCATGCCTCCCTCTAGGACTCTGGGATGTGTCTGAAATGGTCATGGTGGTGGCTCATGCCTGTGATCCCCACACTTTGGGTGGGTGGATCACCTGAGGTCAGGGGTTCGAGACCAGCCTGACCAACATGGTAAAACCCTGTCTCTACTAAAATGAAAAATTAGCTGGGCATAGTAGCAGGTTCCAGGAGGCTTAGAAAGAAGAATCACTCGAACCCAGGAGGCGGAGGTTGCAGTGAGCTGAGATCGTGCCATTGCACTCCAGCCTGGGCAACAAGAGCGAAACTCCGTCTCAAAAAAAAAAAATAGTAATAATAATAAAAATAAATAATGAAATGGTCATGGATCCCCAAGCTGGGGCCAGTGGCTCCCACCTCGCTTGGTGCCCTGGAACATTCCCTTCTGGAGCAAGCCAGCCTGTCAGTGCTTCGGACTCTCAGGGGGATGAAATATTCATGAGCTAATACAGAATTCAGCCTCTCATTAGCCGGGTTTTAAAAGCGCAAGTTGAAATTAAACAGACACTCACCAGCCTTCCGCAGCAGTCCGGGTGTGACGAACACATGGCCTGTTCCCTCTCATCTCCAAGATCATCAGCACCCCTCCCCAACTCCCTCAAACATTCTGTTTGAACATAAAGTAGGATTAGATTATTAGAAGGGTGGTTTGCACATGGAGCTGGCGTAATACCCAGACTCAAGGAAACCCCCTCCATGCCAAAGAAGTCCCTTTTCTGTCCTGGCCCTGAAATCCTACCCTTAATCACGATTCGGGTTAAGGTATCAAAGGCTTCTATTAAAAAAGGAATATGCTGGAGGGTGGCCTCTTTTGATTGTTATTACCTTTGATGCCTTAATTGGAATAAATCTATTGCATTAGTTGGTTTCCTGGGTGAACTCTGAATTATGAGACAAAGGATTGGGAGGTTTTGACTTGGATGTTGCCAGCAAAAGTTGGACCTGAGACGTTGCCTCAAAGAGTAGATCAGAGTGGGGCACCTGATGGGGCTTCTGGGTGGCTGGGCGCCAGGCACGAGCAGATGTACCCACAGCGCTGACGGGGTGCTCGTCCTGTCTCCCTGCAGACAATGCTTTTGGAGAAGAGCCGCGTGGCACGGCAGCCAGAAGGCGAAAGTAACTTCCAGGTTTTCTCCCAGATGTTGGCTGGATTGGACCTGGATCTCAGGTGAGCACTTGCTGCAGGTAGAGACAGCCGAGGGCACTGCCGCAAAGGGTACCTGTTCTTTGCGGGTCCAGCCTTAGCTTCTGCCCAGCACTGAGAGGTCGTGGGACCCAGGGAATAGGAACATGGCCTCCGATTCCAGCTGCCTGGGTACACACAGCTCACATGCAGGATGACTTTGGTCACATGTCACATGTCACCCACTCTGAGCCTCAGTTTCTTCCTTTGTAATGTGGAAACACCTCCTTGCCTAGACCTTATGGGATTAAGTGAGATAATATACATTCAGCTCTTTATAAATGCTGGGAGTGGAGGCTGTCCGCTGTGACAGTGGTATGTCAATACTGCCCCTGACTGCGTGTGGGAAGAGGGAGAGTGACAGCAGACCCCCACGTCTTCCAGAAGTTTCTAAACTTTTGTGGGAGCTTTGGGTGTAGGGTGTGTTTACATGAGGTGCCTCAGGACAGACCTGGAGCTGAGTGGAGCAGTGAGCTGAGTAGTCATGCAAGCCGCATCTTGGAGGGCTTCCTGGAGGAGGTGGCCCAAAAAGCCATCTCTGCCCTTCCCCAGATCTATAGGGGATCCTTAGGCACGGAGCTCATGTGGCTTCCTCTCCCAGAGCCTTGGTTCCCTCCTCTGTTGGATGGTTGCACGGTCCTCGTGAAGCTCCAGGGAGAGGAAAAACTAGGTTTTCCCACATGAAGGATGGTAATTTGTGGTTGCTCTGTTCTAACCCCAACATTGTTTGTTCCCCAGCCTTCCCTCTGCATCTGAAGGGCAGCCTCAACCTGTCTTGGGCATCCCAGGAACTCCCAGTTTTCAGAGTGATAGTAACTGAGCAGCAGGGAAGCTTCTAGAAGGTCTTGATAATCTGTAGAAGAACTTGGAGTAGGGTGGTATAGCAGAGTGACAAGGGCCAGAAACTCGAGGACAAGGCTGTGTGAATTTGCATGCTGGCTTCTCCCCTCGTTGGCTGTGTGACCTTGAGCTAGTGACTTCACCTCTCTGAGCCTGACTTTTCTTAACCACAAAATAACTGTGACTATATCGCAGTGTTGTGGTGAGGGTTAAAAAATGAACAGGTAGACAGTCCTTAGAATAGCGCCGGAACTTAGCGAATGCTTTGTGTTTGTTGTAGATTTGGGAGGAGGTGGTCTGCTTTGATACCCCCACAGGCCCTGAGCAGGTCATCCAAAGAAATGACTTTGGGTTCAGAGGGACATGGATCGGATCCTGGCTTTGCCCCACATGGGCTTCTCTGAGCCTTGGTTTCTCCTTCTGTCAAATGGGTCCCTACTAGCGCCAACCCTGGAGGCATTTAAATGAGATCATGTCAAGGCAGCAGGCGCCATGTGGGGCGTGTAGTAAGGGGGTAATGTGGGAAGGAAGGGGTGGGTGGAGCCTGAACATAGGTGTTTGAGCCCCACTTTCAGCCCCATGCCCTTACATCTTGGGGCCTCCATTTTCTCACCTCTCTGAACACTGAGGGACACACATCACCCCTGTTCCGGCTCTGGAGCCCCACATTGGGGCTCTCTCATCTGTATCCCATGGGTGGGGCTTGGCTCTGGGGATAGAAGCATTGCCTGCTGGGGAGGGGGGTTGGGGGCTTATCCTGGGGTGGGCCCAGGAAGGTGAAGGTTCCACTGCAGCTAGCAGAGGGTGCCAGGCCTCCATTCCAAGCCAGGCCCAGACCAGGGCCCTCCGTGCTGGTGGCATCCTTATTGAGTCTGGCAGCCTTAGAAGCCGGGCCAAAGCTGCCTCTGAGAGGAAGGGCTCGTCCAGATGAGTTTCAGGGACCCCAAGAGAGTAAAGTCTGAGGAGCAACTCAGACCCCTCAGGGAGTCATAGTCATTCTGAAGGCTCCTTGGTGACCCCCCGTTACCTCCCTTTCTCTACCTCTGCTGCTGCCAACCCGGTTCCTCACCCCCATGGAGGTTTCCAAAGGTCAAAAACCGGTTCCCACTGCACAGATGTTCTTTCTCCCTTGCATTCGTGTGGCAAACTCCTATTCATCCTTCAAAACTTTACTCGAAATCCCTTCCTTAGAGGAACACTGCCTGACTCTTGCTCCTTAGTTTCTTCTTTTTACCATTTTGGTGTCTGGTGTGTGCTTCTGGCTCAGGAACCTGCCATGCTGGCAGGTCTCCCTTCCTCACTAGGTGGACTGGGAGATTTTTGCGTCAGGGGCCCTGTCATCCTTCTTTCTGCCTTCCCAGTACCTAGCACAGGGCTTGGTCTTGGCACCAGGTAGATGCTTCTTAATTACTTGTCAGATTGAATTTCCAGTGAATGGAAGAGAGAGTGAGGAAAACAGAGAGCACTTACTCCGTGCCAGCCCAGCAGTGTGAGGTTATGTACAATATATCATTTAATCCTGGGAGGTGAGTGGAGTAGGGGGCCCATTTTACAGATAAGGAAAAGTGAGTTGCAGAGAAGAGAATTACCTTGTCCGCTACATGGCAGCACTGGGGTTGAACTTGAAGCCTATCTGGTGAGAGTCTTTCAAAGTCACAAGGCAGAGAGGGGTGTGGGGTCTGTAGAGACTCCAGGGAGAGGACACTGAAGACCGCAGAACCAGACAAGCTGGTTGGAGACTGATGAGTAAGCCCCACTTTCCAGGAACCAATTTGAACCTGCATGGGGATTGGGGACCCTAGGCTGGGCTCTACAACGCTTTTGTGAGCAGAGAGTGTGATTTGAGGGGGCAAGGGGCATAGCCATCCCCATCCCACCTTTGGCTTGCATTCCTCAAGCCTGCAAAAGTGGGTGGCCCATCTGCAGGTCTCACTCTCAAGGAACCTACAGTGTGAACACCGGAAGGAGCCTTAAACATCATGTTGGTTCATAAAGTGCAGACTGAGGCCGGGAGAGGCGCCCGTGGCAGGATGGCACGAGTGTGGGCTGCAGGGGCCAGCAGACCGCAGTTCAGCTCCTGGCTGCATACTGGCTAGCTGTGAAGTCTGGGGCAGTACTCACGCTCAGTGCCTCTGTTTTGTCCACTGCAAAATGGAAATCATATTTGTACCCATGGAGTGTGGCTGTCTTGAGTGATCTTAGAACTCAGCGTGCAGCAAGGACTCATTCGCGTTGACCATTTCATTATTACGCTTGAGTGAGCTCACCCAGCTGATTAGAAGATCTGGGAGCAGTCCCTGCCCTCCTGATTTTCCTCTACTACTCTTTCTTCTGGGATTTCCTGGCTTTCGGGAAAGGCCAAGTGAGGGCTGTGAGGGAGGAATATTTGGGAGATCGAAGATGTCTCAGAGAAGTTAGCGGGGCCAAGGCCAGCTACAGCCACTGGGGTTCCTGGGCAGTGGTGTGGAGCCTCACACTGTGATGCCCCCTGCCCTGGTGTGAAGCGGGTCCCCTGACTCCTGGTTCCTTCTGTGCTTCCAGGACGGAGCTGAACCTGCACCACATGGCAGAGAGCAGCTCCTTTGGCATGGGTGTGTGGTCCAAGGTAAGGAGGAAGTCCTTTGGGGTGGGATGTGAGGCTGTGTCCCTGGGGCCAGATGGTAGGGTGATGCAGAGCCCCCCTGCAACTTGTCCCCTTTGTTACCGGGGTTCATAGCTGGCAAGGGTTGGCCACGTGGGAGAGTCAGGGGCTGGCTTTGTAGGGTCTGGGCTTACTGGGAAAAGGAGACTTGGACAAATAAAGAAACCAGGTGTAGTATACGTAGAGGTAGGATTCCAGGATTCCACCTGGAATCAGGTGGTCTAGTTCAAGCCCCAGCCCTGACCTTGACCTCCCTGGATGTCCGTCTCTTCTTAAGTAAAATAATGATAGTAGCACTATCTGCCTCATAGGGTTGTTGTGGGGTGAAATGAAATGGTGCATAACGTGCTTAGAACAGGGCTTGGCCTAAAGTGTGCTCTTTGTAAATGCTCCTGGTGGTTAACTTGGGTAGGTGCACTCAGCGATGGTTTTCTTAACTGCAGCCTCCACCTCCTTGGTTCAAGCAATTCTCCTGCCTCAGCCTCTGGAGCAGCTGGGACTACAGGCATGCACCACCAAGCCCGGCTCCTTTTTTTTGTATTATTAATAGAGATGGGGTTTCACTGTGCTGGCCAGGATGGTCTCGATCTCCTGACCTCGTGATTTCCACCCTCCTCGGCCTCCCAAAGTGCTGGGATTACAGGAGTGAGCCACTGGGCCCGGCTCAGCACTGGTTCTCTAATGAATGTAGTCTATGAGTGGGGCTGAGAGTTAGGTATTTCACGGCTTAAAGAAGCAAATGATTCACTGGTTTGATATTTTATTATTCAGTTATTTTAACCATTGTTTTCTCCGCTCTATCCCAAATACCTTCACCACCACCTATGCCAGGCCTGTGTTGAGTGCTAGGAGTGTGGTCCTCCTCCAAGAATTTTCGTTTTAGCAGAAACACAGACTTAGAAATTAATGCAATCACGTGAGATAAGAATATGTCAGAGGTTGCACAAAATGCTGCAGGCACCACAGGATAACTGATAGAGCGACTTGGCCTTTGTGGGGAAGACTTCTTAGCTGAGGAAACATTTGGCCTGAGTTTTGAAGGATGAATAGGAGTTCACCAGATAGGGGGAAGTAGATAATTTTCACTCCAGAGCCTCTTTTCAAACATATATGCCTGGGAAACAAATAGTGCTAGAATAATTGGATATTCTGGGGCCACACACACACACACACACACACACAGAAAGAAACAATCCATTTCACATGATATACTAAAATTAACAAAAAGTGAATCACAAATCTAATTGTAAAACTTCTAACCACAAAATTGCTAGAAGAAAGGTAAGAAAAATCTCTGTAACCCTGACTCAGGCAAAGATTTCTTAAATGAGACCCCAAAATCCCAGTGCATAGGAGAAAAAATGAACTCTATCAAAGGGAACAGCATCTGCTCTTTGAAAGCCACTATTATTATGAAAATGCAAACCACAGACTGGGAGAAAATATTTGCAAATCACTTATCTGATAAAGGATTTTTATCTAGAATATAAAAGTAATCCTCGGCCGGGCGCAGTGGCTCATGCCTGTAATCCCAGCACTTTGGGAGGCTGAGGCAGGTGGATCATGAGGTCAAGACATCAAGACCATCCTGGTCAACATGTTGAAACCCCGTCTCTATTAAAAATACAAAATATTAGCTGGGCATGGTGGTGCGTGCCTGTAGTCCCAGCTACTCAGGAGGCTGAGGCGGGAGAATTGCCTGAACCCAGGAGGTGGAGGTTGCGGTGAGCCGAGATCGCGCCATTGCACTCCAGCCTGGGTAACAAGAGCAAAACTCTGTCTCAAAAAAAAAAAAAAAAGTAATCCTCAAAACCCATGCATGAAACAACAAAAAAGATGGCCGAAAGATGGAACATACAAAAAAAAAAAAAATGTAAATGGATCGCAACTAAGCACAAGAAAATATGCTCAACATCGTCGGTCATTACGGCAATTCAGCCTTCTCCCATCTTTCTTGCCTAGTAAACTCTCTACTCCTTAAAAAAAAAAAAAAAAAGAAAGAAAGAAATTCACCTGGGCGCTGTGGCTCATGCCTGTAATCCCAGCACTTTGGGAGGCTGAGGCTGGCAGATCACCTGAAGTCCAGAGTTCGAGACCAGCCTGGCCAACATGGCAAAACCCCATCTACTAAAAGTACAAACAATTAGCCGGGTGTGGTGGTACACGCCTGTAGTTCCAGCTATCAGGAGGCTGAGGCAGGAGAATTGCTTGAACCCGGCAGGCGGAGGTTACAGTGAGCAGAGATCACGCCACTCACTCCAGCCTGGGAGACGGAAGAAGACTCTGTGTCAAAACAGCAATGACAAAAAAGGAAAGCTGCTAAGTGTGTGCACATGCACACACACGCACACACACACGCGCACACGCACATGCACACACACACACACGCACACTCTTAGATGTTGCTGAGTATTATTGGCAGAGTATCTAATTGAGTAGCTCTAGGTGAGGCCTGAGAATGTGCATTTCTCACAAGTTCCCAGGCAGTGCTGAAGCTGCTGGTCCAGAAACCCTGCTTTGAGAACCGCTGTTGTAGAGTCTGTTTCTTTTTCTTTTTTTTTTTTTTTTTTGAGATGGAGTTTCACTCTTGTTACCCAGGCTGGAGTGCAATGGCGCAATCTCGGCTCACTGCAATCTCCGCCTCCTGGGTTCAGGCAGTTCTCCTGCCTCAGCCTCCTGAGTAGCTGGGATTACAGGCACGCGCCACCATGCCCAGCTAATTTTTTGTATTTTTAGTAGAGATGGGGTTTCACCATGTTGACCAGGATGGTCTCGATCTATTGACCTTGTGATCCACCCGCCTTGGCCTCCCAATGTTTCTGCCCTGGGTGAGGTGATGTGTCTACCCTGTCTTTGATAATCTGCTTGTCACCTTATAAGTATGTCCCAAATATTGCACGGGCAAGCTGGGAGAGTTGGGGCCATATCAGAGAGGCTGCCTGGAAGAGGTGACTGAGAGCTGGCCATGAGAATGAGCATGAAATTTCTTTCATTCTCAAAACTCATAAACGAAACAAGCTGGAATGAATGTGAAATTAGACGGGTGCAGTGAGGCTGGCATTCTTGCTAAAGCAAATATTGTGGGTGGGGGGCTTCCTCTTTACTCAGCAGTGAGTAAATGGCCCCATGATTTGGGGTCATTAGGAGCCCAGACCTTGACCTTGAAGGCAAGCGATGAGAAATTATCTCAGCACTGATTTTTCTTGTTCATTTAAGGAGCTTTGGCCAAATGTATCCATTTGAATCAGCAAAAGAACTGTTTGTTTTCCTATCATTTTTGAGAAGGGAAAAGGCCCAAGCTGGGCCCCTCTGAGCTCTCCCCAGCCTGACCTGTTTATTGGGAGTCTGCGTAAAGCCATTGGTCACAGCGTGAATTCGTGTCAAAGAAGCATTTGAAGTGGTTTGCTTTTTCCCCTGTATTTCTGTGGGGCATTTTTTCGACCAGTTGATTTGCGGGAACGGGTAGGGTGTTTCTTTGTTCTCTCTCTGTTAACTGGCAGATTTCAAGAGAATGTTTCCTCTGTTCTTTCAGAAGAAAAATTCAGTTTGAAAATGCATTGATCTTTGATACAAGCCTGGGCCAGTTACTGGGGTTGGGTAGACCAGGGACAGCCTCCTTAAGGAAATCTGGTGAACAGGATATGCCCTCCAAGAAAGGGAGTTGCTAAGTCCCCAGGGCTGTCAGACTGAGAAAATCATACAGGATGCCCAGTTAAATTTGAATTTCAGATACACATTGAATGATGTTTTATATAAAAGCATGTCCCAAACATTGCACAGGGACCCCTGAAGGTCTGGGAGCATAGCAGGGCTGGCTGCCTGGAGGAGCTGACCACAGGCTGTTCCCGGAATGAGAATGAAAGTAGTCAGATGCAGTGAGACCAGCATTCTTGCTGTACCAAATATTGTGGGGGACATACTTAATTGTGAACAAAAATTATCCATTGTTTATCTAAAATTCGAATTTAGGGCCGGGCACGGTGGCTCACGCCTGTAATCCCAGCACTTTGGGAGGCTGATGTGGGTGGCTCACGCGGTCAGGAGACAGAGACCATCCTGGCTAACAAGGTGAAATCCCGTCTCTACTAAAAATACAAAAAAACTAGCCGGGCGCGGTGGTGTGGCCCTGTAGTCCCAGTTACTCGGGAGGCTGAGGCAGGAGAATCTCTTGAACCCGGAAGGGAGGTTGCAGTGAGCCAAGATCATACCACTGCACTCCAGCCGGGTGACAGCAAGACTCCGTCTCAAAAAAAAAAATCGAATTTAACTGCATTTTCTTTGGCAACCCTGCAACCCAACTTCAAGCCAGCGTCATCCCTGGCTAAGCCTGCTTTTTCCTTCTCCCCGTAGCCAGCCCCCTCTGACTATGGTGAATTCCGCTTCTATTTCATCACTTAACAGCTGGTTCCATCTCCACTGAAAACTCACTGGCGACAGTGGAGTCTGACGTAGCAATGTTCGAATCCCAGTACCAGCGGTTAAGCTAGGTGGCCTTAAGCAAGGGACCTCATCTTGGGCCTTGCTTTTCTTCTTTTTTGAACACTAGGAGAGCAACAGTCCACCTTGACCTCAAATTAAATGAGAAAAAGCCAACAAAGCACTTGGAAGGTGCTGACACTTTCAATGTCAGGCCTTCTTCCTCTTTGTCCTCCTCCTTGTCTTTCTTTCCTCCCCCTCCTTCTCCTCTCCTTCTTCTCCTTCTTTTCTCCCTCATCTTCCTCCTTCTTCTCTTCCTCCTCTTATTCCTTCTCCTCCTCTTCCTTCTCCTTCTCTTCCTCTCCTCCTCCTTCTCCTCCCCCTTCTCCTCCTCCTCCTCTCCTCCCCCTCCTTCTCCTCCTCCTCCTTCTCCTCCTTCTCTTCCTCCTTCTCCTCCTTCTTCTCCTCCTTTTTCTTCTTCTTCTCCTCCTTCTCCTCCTCCTTCTCTTCCTCCTTCTCCTCCTTCTTCTCCTCCTTTTTGTTCTTCT